TTTGTTTCCGTATTTAAAAGATACTTTACAGTATTGCAAAGCATATTGAATATGTTTTGGCCTCCCGGTTACGGGTTCGCTGAAAATGTCTTCTGGTTGCATTACGTTGTTTTATTAACTGCTGTAATTCCTTGCTTCTGTAGTTACAGTTTCTTGGTAGCTCTCTCCTTGCGTTGTTGTGAGCAGTAGTAATGGCAGTTGTGAAGTTCTGAATTAAACTATATCATCCCTTGAGTGTATCGTTGGGAGCGTATATTGAATGCTGTTTAGAGCTTTGGCGAACTAGTGCCAGTAAGTAGTGAAGGTTCTTGTGTCTGATAAGGTATAACCGCTAATATCCAGAATCATTCTGACCGGATTATGGTCAGAGGAGAGTTCAGCACAGAAACATCCATCGGAATGCTGGTGTTTCTGAGCCAGAAGAAACCTATGACTCCCGTGGAGTTCGCGGTACACCGTGTTGGTGTTTTTGGAGCTGCTATGTGTAAATTCGCCGAGTTGGCTAAATTGAAAATTCCACGTGCTGTGTCATTTGAATTCCAGGCGCTGTGTCTAGCGTTTAGGTCTCCACCTATAATAAGTGCAAAGTAAGAGTAAAGCGTTTAAATCCGCAAGCACTGACTGAGGGTTACGTGCAGATGGAATGCATGTGGAGACAAAAATGTATGTTGTCGAAGTGCTTGTTATGAGTGAAATAGTTGTGGCTTCTATGGCTGAAAACTGTGGAATCGGAACAGAGATATGAGAGATGCAGCGTTTAATCAGAAGGGCAGTGCCTAGTCTTCTTGGGTGTCTAGCAGTCAGAGATCTGTTAAATCGGTTAAGAGCATAGTTTTGGATAAAGATAGGGGGGCAGGGCCAAGATGGTATTCTCGTAGGAAGAAAATGTCAGTTCGTACTCATTTTAAGTCTCGGAGCTCATTAATTTTCATGGGCAGTTCGTTCGCATTCCATGTAAAAATATTTATACAACTGTTTATAGAATTACTCATTATTACTACTATTACAAGAACCAAATATAAATTCCTGGCTTTGTCAGGCAAAAATCTTTTATATCTCACTGTGTAGTTACCTGCTTTGAACTCCCAAGGAGTAGGGGCAGAAGATTCCTTCACTCGCACATAACAAAAGTGCCCACATTCTGACCCTGATGAAAATAATTATTTTATCTCTTTGTCTCTTGGAGTGACCTTCGTGGCTTCAGCCGGAATCATTAGCAAACTCATCTCGTTGGATCAGGATTTCACACTCTGAAAGAACTATCATTGTATTCGGAAAATATTCATCCTAGACAAAGAACCTCTATCTGACCTTATCACAATATATATATGATTTACAATGTCACTATGAATTCTACACCAGAATCAGCTTTTATCTATTATGCAAACACAATAACCAATTTTCGTCTTATGAAAATAAAAGTTTTCAAGTATACCTATATACAAGGTATCCCGGACTTGAGTTGATTAGTGGAAGTTTTTCCAAAATCTAAAGTAGCCACTATGGTTTGTAAAGTGGTTAGCGATGCTGGTTGCCTTATCGCTGGCCATGGGTTCGAGTTTCGGAGGGCGTTTGAATGTGTATATGTGAAGGATGGGAGTATTTAAAATACTTCAGAGCCGAAAATATTATCAAGAGGTTGAGTGGCAATACTGGAAGACTTTTCAATCCACCCCACAGGGTGTTTCCACTAAAATTGGAACGGAGCTGCACAGTAACTGCGATGAGGTTGTGCCTGTGAAAGCACTGAAGAAGTTCTAATTGTCTGAACTGTAACCGCCCAGCCGGTATAGCAGTTAATGACGCTGATTGTCGTACCAATGAACCTGGTTTCGAATAACGGAGAAGGCAAGATCTTTATAAGCATGTAGTGGTTACAATGGCATGGATGTTTGTACGCATATAGCATATTCTCATTCTGGAAAAAGAGGAAACACTCAAAATATACTGCGAACCGAAAACCCTCTCGAAAAGTCGTTAGTAGGAGAAGACCTTCGGATGATCCCTCTTGGGATGTTCTCCCTCAAATTCGGGGTGGAAGCTTAATATTTGGATAGGTTTAATAACAACCTCAATATCCTATGGTACTAAAGAGGTGCTGGCCTAGCTTCTACCCGTACCAGTTCTTTAATTTAAGGTAAGCAAAATCTAAGATAATCCGATGAGCATATGAAAGGAAACACTTGGGTATTAATAATAGTATGATGTGAAGATTGTAATGATAATCAGTAAAGCTGTTATAACAATCAATAATAGCATGACGTCACTATGCTGTGAACGAGGTGTGCTTGAAGAAGTACTTGAGTTCCAAAGAACATATCAGCTAAGGAAGGCTATGACACGTAAAGCCATGACGAAGCTCATATAAAGCAATACTAGCTACAACAAAGCGATCGATATAAACATGTGTCATCCGAAATGTTCCATAATAGGAGATCTGTGGTTAGGGAGCAAACGTTAGCGATTGTAAGGAGGGCATCAGCTGATAACAGCATAATACTTTAGGATAGTCGAACGTGGAATGTGTCATTATGCATTTCAGTTAGAGAATGAGCAAATAATACGGGGGAAATACATCTCATCACCAAGTGAGAATATCATCATATCACTAAGTGATCACCATTTCAGCAAGTGAATATCACCATATTACCAAGTGAGAATGTCATTTTTCCTCAGGCAACCATTCTAAGCAATTTTATGAAAAATACAGAGAAATTCGGATCCAAGTTAATGTTAAGTTAACGTTTGTTATTTCTCATAATGTATTTTGGCACAGCCTTCATATTCTTGTATCTCCATCGCTAACTAGTGTGAAATATCTCATGATTCCGTTTGTATGTTGCGTAATTAAGCCATCGAAATATCTCTCTAGTTATCAGATTCTTTGCTTAATTTATTATGGTATAGCATGCAAGGGCGATGACCTAAGGCAAGGACTAAATTTGGTTTATTTGACTATGGCAAAGCCCTCAAGGGCTATCTGCCTACGGGCAGCGATGATTTTGTGGAGAACTTTCTAAGGAATATAAACGTTACACACGGAAAAAATACATGAAAACGTCCATGCAGCCACGCCGTTCCCTGGGATTGGAACCTCGGAGCGAACTACAAGTGTTCTACGGCTTTATCGCTCGTCCACTGCCGGGCCCTTAACAGTAAGGAAGGTTTTGCGAAGGATTTGCTAAAATATTAGTTAATTTGATTACGATAAATATGCGGAGAGTATCTGCATAAGGGAATAGATGCTTTCGTGGAGAATGTTCTAAGGGAAACTGACTCTTAGCTACGTAACGCATGTGAAAAATCAGGAAATATCTCATGAAACCAGCCCCTTTCCCGAGGTTCGAATCTAGATTGAATTGCTAGTGTTAGTGTTCTTAACCATTCGGCCACTGGTAGACATGACTTTCTAAAAGAAGCAATTCAAATTCACATGAGAAAAAGTACCAATGAAATTAGCACATTCAGAGGAACTGGAATTATCAGTGATCAGTGGGATCGAATTACTGAGTTCAGCTGTTTCATATACTCGAACACAGATTAACAGATCCGTCAAGAAGCACTTGCATTTGAAATGAAATTTAGAACTCTTTCTATACACTCCAAACTCTCTTATGCCCTCCTGTAAAACTGAGAAAAAATGAGACCCTAGAGATATCCTACCCGGCTGGTGGTTTGCATTTCGAGCACTAAATGTTTTCTGTCTTCGTTCCACATACGAATGTTTCCTGTCTTTCCTTTCATTATCATATTTTCTCTAAGTTTTTCCGTATTAGAAATGTGCCAGTCTTTCTCCTGCCATAACACTTAACCGCGTGTTTCTCACCACATACTGATAGGGTATTAGCTTTAGCTCCTTGACTTTTGCGACTCCTTTCCGAGATATCGTACAGATTGTTTATAACAGCTGCAAGAAATAATTTACAGATTTAAAATTGAAAAAGAATAGGTTGCATTCTTCCTCTTCCGCTTTTCCAGGCGTTAATTTTATGTAAATATTTAGCTTAATTAATTTATTCGAATACTGATAAGTACAAGGTGGTCATAAAAAAAAAAAAAAACTTTTTTGGGTATGAACCCCAAGCGGCCTATCCGCTCAATCGAAATGAGATTTCAGATACTGTTTTTTGAAGTTATGTGCTAGAGATTGCAATGATTTTAAACTATACAGCTCTCACAATTAAGGTTACAGTGAAAACATTTCGAAATTTTAGATTGGCAAGACCTACTTTTAACACCACACCTAATTGATCAGCGCACTCTAAAAGAGTAAAGGCGTTGGAAAGATAAGTATATTTAGGAAAATTTTAGGAGTAAACCATTTGTGAAGAAGATCATTGTAAAGAACCATTTACAACACACGATAGAAGAGGGAAAAACTATTATTGGAATTAGAAGTTTTCAACTAGTAGAACATCTCAAGACAGTCACCTTCCGAAATTGTGCAGTTTCTTGGCCACCGCGATGCGCCGTCAACACTCTGATGGATTTCTGGTCCTTGGGTTATCTGAAATCTAAGGTGTACACATCAAATTCACTATATATGTCAGAAATGAAAGATGCAGTACAAAGTGAAGTTATACAGATTCCTCTCATTATGTTACTTGATTAATTACTTACGTAATTATTGTCAACAATCTCCGGCTTTTAATGCGTTAACGTTTGCGAAAGTGAATGTGCTGATCAACTTACGCAGAAGGACTTCTTACCTTTCGAAATTTTTTCACTGTAACCGTAACTGGGAGAGCTCTATTATTTTCAATCATCTTAATCTTAAAAAGCATACCTTCAAATAATATCTGAAATTTCATGTCGACTGGATGAGAGGACAGGCCGCTAGGGATTCTCGTATCCGGATTCTTTTTTACCACCCTGTATAAGTGCCTATATTTAAAAGACTATTTTTAAAGTATAACCTGATTCTCCTATGTTATACATAAGTAAACAAATATCACTTGCATTATTAAACTCTATCCGAATAACATTTTCTTATCTTTCAGCAAAGTATGGAATGTTAGAAAGCGGTGATCTTTACATACGAGATACCACTGAGCATGACGGATCCTACAGTTTCAGATGTCATACAGAAAATACAGTAACCAAAGAGAAAAAAGTTAGCATGAATTATTCCAGGATTATTGTTACAGGTAATACGTTGCTTTTAATTATTTAAAAAAATCGTTTTGTAATATATGATGTTGTAATTTATAATTTATGTATTATATTTTATTTAATCTTTATTTAAATAATAATTTATAACTCTTTAATTATACGTTAATTAATTTCTATTTAAATAACATCTTTAAAATTTATGATTATTCATGCAAAATTCTCCTTTTTTACTTCCTTGTACGAAGTACAAGTTTCTTGTAGTTGAATACATTAATTCTCCTTTTTTACTTCCTTGTACGAAGTAAAGGAAATATTTTAATCGCTAACATTTTCGAATATCAGCTTTAAACGCAAACATCCATTTTGAACGTTCCCGAGTCAATTTGGTTATTTTTTTGCTTGGCATCTGCACGTACAGAGAAAACAAAGGATTGTTTATTTCAAGACTTCTAATGTAGATTTAAAATAGATTTTTCTTGTGACATCTGTACGTATGTAAATAAGTATCTAGCTCGCATAACTCAAAAACGATTTGCCGTAGAGCGATGAAATATTGTATACATATAACAATAATTTGAACATTCTCACTCTTAAGGTGTCAAGCCAAGGCAAACTGAGAATACTGCGGTACACCTTTTTTTAATAGGAAATTGGCTACTACAGTATTTAGTTGAAGTTCAAACTGTAATTAAAAATTTTAATTTATTTTGGCCAATCTAAAAATGAAAAATTTGTATATCGCAAGCATTTATTCGACGGCAACAACATCGCTAGCATCTATTCGACGCCATTTACCATTTTCCAAGCAACCGGTGGTATCAACGAAAACCAGCGGTGGTTTATGCTGCCGACGTCCATTAAGAAGCTTGCCACTTACCCAACATCACAGACAATGTCGATTGGATTTCTGCTGAACTCGGGCAAGCTGGAGTGTGACCGACTGGAGGCATGTGTCAGCGAGGAATTCTGATTCAGTCTCAGTGCTGTTGACCAATGCACACGCGTTTGGAGGCGACAGGTTAGCGGCCCGATCCGCCATTTGCTGTCGAGCGGCATTCGGCGATTACACAAGGTGGGACAATGTGGATGACATTTTAATACTGGTTGTACTGCCTATGCTATCAAGTTACCTGTTGACATTTATCACAAGGCAACGTTCGTCCACATACTGCGCTACTCTCTCAGCAATGCCTTCAAGGATATGGCATACTCCCGTGGCCTGCCAGGTCACAAAACTCTCGGCAATAGAGTAGATTTGAGACATGCTTGGAAGGCAATTTCAGCCATCCTAGCATATTGGTGAATTAACTCTCCAGTTGCAAAGATTATAGTATAACCTTCCGCAGGTAGTCATAAGTGACCTACTTAATTCGATGCCACTCCGTTTTTCCGACTTGTATAGCTTGTTACAAATCAGTATGTAGTACAGATGACTATACTACTTACTGATTTGTATACTTTTTTATGCCGTCACTTCTTAATAAAACAATTTTTGTTCTGAATTTGCAATCATTTGTTTATCTCCTCATATACTACATACATGTTACGTCTCGTGATAGCCGTTCATTTCCTTCTAAGTGCATGTATTTTTCTGTGACAGAATGTATATACTCTTGCTACTGCCAACTGGAATAAAAAAGGAAGGTTGACAAGTAGACCTGTCAAGAAAAAAAAAAGTTAAAATGAATATTTCCGTAGAAATCTGATGACCGAAACTTTTCGCCCTTGCATTACGTAATTTAATTGGTCAAATGAAGTAACAAATTATCAAACTTTCGCACCTGAATTCTACTGAAGAGCAAAAATAGGATTATTTTCTAAATTATGTGATCCTGCATTAAAAAAATGCGTGTATAAACGGGTCCGATATGGTCAGCTGAATATAGTCGACAAAATTGAAGTCGAGGATCTTAGCAAAATAGTAAAAAGCGGTGAAATTCGTTTTGCGAAAGGCAAAAACGAAGGGGGATGACTACTGATTGTTTTTTAAATAAAGATGCAGCAGTTCCGTTCATTTCACAGGAACCAGTGGACAACTTCGAAAGACTTTCATCTTTTGATGAGAGCTAAATTTCTCGGAAGATGAAATAATATCTAAATCCCAAAGGTTTAAAATAAATGTTTTTATTAGAACTCAAAAAGCAATAATTGTAAAGTACAAAGTCACCGCTTTTTGAGGGATTTATCAAAAGAGAATCGTCAAAGTAAAACTTAAGCAGATAAATTATGCAATTTACACAGCAAAGTCACTTTGTACGCTTTGTTTGTTTTTGTACGCTTCTATCAAAGTACGCTTTGTTTCAAGATGAGATCAAATACGGCTAGCAAAGAGATAAAACTGATTCGGGTAACTTTAAAAACTGCGTGAAACTGCTTCGGAGAAAGTTAGCTGCTGCTAAAGTTCTTTCTCTTAATTTTAAGAACTCTGGTTTTATTTACGTTAACTATTTTGCATTCTGGTGTGAGCCGACGAATGTATTAGGGACATCAAAGATAAAATAGTAAGATACTGGATTAGTAAGCATAGAATCGTAAAATTTTTAGTTATTTTTGAACTTAGTAGAAATATAGCTATAAAATGCAAGATGCATATTATACTTGTATTAAACATATTAAGAATTACAAAACGATTTATGAACTTTGATAAGTGTAAAGTAAATGAATACAAAACCGTCCAAAAAGTTACAAAATAGGGAATTTTATATAAATATATAGATCATGTTGATAACAACTTTCCTATGATCCACATATTTTCCTTTATAATCCCAATAATTTATAGCATCCAATTCTTGACTGCCACTTTCGGCCGCTTTAGTGGCCAACCTTTATAATGGCTAGCTCCCGTCATAAGGGGGATCTTATAGCAGTAATTAAAATTGAAAATGTATGTAATAAATTTCCAATCAACTACTAAGTGAATAAGACTGTAAACGCTGGTAGCTCAATCCACGATAGAATCGGGATTAGCAAAAGGGTTAGTTGAATGGGTGCTTCCTAAATTTTCACCATATGAAACGGGAATGTGAACCAATTTTCCTTAGCAAGTTTTCCAGAAAAGTATCTCTCCCTCTTCCCAGATAGTTCTAGGAACTTCTCCTTATTGAATTAAAATGGCGAAAGAACTATTTCAGGGATTTACTAGAATAGTAAATTGTAATAAAAAAGCATATACAGGTATATTTCTCTTAATACGGTTTCCCAAAACACGGAATCGTCCTTAAACGGTAGGAAAATTGCGGAAAACCTCGTATAGCACAGCACCACGGTTTCATTCTAGCATGTTAATGAATATGCGCCTGCTATAACACTTGATGTAAAAACATATTTTAATAACACGATTTTTATCCTGAACATTTTAAAATTGTGTTACGTTGGTGTGTAGGGCGCATTATCAACTTATTTACACAAATAAAATAAATTACAGCAGTACCTGCATTCTTTCACATTGAACTTCTGAAGCTGAGTCACCCTAATTATTTACACAGTGTGTATTTTGTGTTGCTATGTTCAGTTTGCATATTATATAATTGTGATTTTGGAAATAACTTTAAAAAATCTTTTTAAGAACGTATTCCTTATTAGCTTTTATCGCATTTAGGAGTGATTATTGCCAAATTTAACTTCAGTCCCAAATCATAGGTGAAAGTAAGAAAACTACTTAAAAAAATTAATTTCTTTGGGCATGAAAATATAAATTTTAAATCATTTATTAAAAGGAGAAAATACCTTTTGCTTTACAAAAAGTCAAGAGGCTACAATGAGAATTATTTAAAAATAGTTGTTTTTTAAAAGCTTTCGAAACGCATCCTCCTATTTTGTATTAAGTTATAGGGCAGATACCTATTTTGTATATCCTGATATACAAGAATAGGAGGGATACCTATTTTGTATATCAGGCCCACCAGCGGCCGAGCAGTAAAATCCATAAACTGTGGTTCGATTTCACGCGACCGGGGTTTGGATGCATGGATTTGTTCGTAGATGCTTCCATGTATAACGTGTATTATGTGCCAGTTTCTCTTAGAAATTCCTCCACGAAGGCATCTCTTCCGTTACTCAGACAACTTTAGTTTGATTTGCCTTAATCAGCTAAACCAAACCATAACCTGTATATCATTTTCTCTATTGTTAATTTGCAGTAGTTCATTGCATAATTTACAGTAATATTTAAATCCATGTTTGATTCTAGGACAATTTCTTGAATAAGCTTTGCATTTAATTAGAGAATACATAAATTTGAATGCAAAAAGAAGATGCTTTTTTCTCTTATAAAAATATTTATATTTTCAGGCTAATAAAATTAAACTGTATATTTGATGCAATAAGTACTAATGCATTAGTTATTTCCTTTGTGAATGATACTACAATCATAATTAATCACAGTAGAATACTCGTAAATATATAAAGTTTACCATTGTTGCTAAATAAAATGTCTCCAAGAGAAAAATTAATTTAATGTATGAATTTATATTGCGTATTTCCCGATAGAAACATTTTTCGTGAAAGAAAACTTCCTCGAATATTTAATTCAAAAATTTCCTTCGGAAAGAAATGTAGTTCCTTTTTAATAGTAAATCAAATGCATTATTGATTTTGTATACAGCTATGTAAACGAATGTTTCATACACCATTCTCCAGTATGTATTAAACTTTATTCAAATCTATTGACAGAGAGATATTACGATAAAATTAATTTATATTTTTAAATGATAAAGAAATAATAATAATATACATTTGGGTGTTATATTCATTAAAACGTGATATTAAACATTAGGAAATAGTACTTTATTTGCATCTGTTTGCAGATATATTTATTTCGCATTTAAACAGGTAGGAATAAAATGCATATCTCTGTTGCTAGGCAACTGTGCCTAATGCTTTGTTTAAACAGAGATGCAAAATGTTCAACATATAATACCGAGCATAAAAAGATTTTGTCTCATTAGAGATATGAATATAAGACTAATCAAACCAGTGGGACAGCAAGCTCTAAAATGATTTACCAAAGCTGATTTAAATATATTTTTCTTTTTATGACAGTAGATGCTTTACTCTAATATGTTATTCTTCGCAGCTGCTTCACACGACGTGCTCTATTCCTCATAATTTTTCAAACCCTAATTATGATTACAATTTATTCTATGTTTTTTACATATTTTAATTAAGAATAGAATTTATATAATGGGAAAAAATCTGAAGGCTTTCAAATTTTATATTACCCCAGGGGCGATTTTTTCATTTACATACACACACATATTTCAGGAGCATTTGGGATATTGTTTCTTTGGGCTGAAAATATTTAAAAACAGCATCCCCTTAGCTTTTTCGATAGACAAGCTTGCGCGCTGGAGATTTTTAAAAACATAATTTTCCGTACAGTGTTGCCATTGCTCGCTTTGAAATCATTGAGTTCCTTGATCAAAAATTCGTTACAGTTTTGCAAAATAGGAAATAGGTAATGAAACAAATTCTTAATTCATAATTCGGGCTTCCATATGACCATATTTGAATGAAAGATTACGTTATTCAAAATATGATGTCTTTAGGTACTGTTGTTAGTTTTAGCAGTGTGAAAAATATGCATACATTAATGCTTTTTCATTATTTAATTTCTTTAAATATAATATACTGCGAAAATATTTGTTGGCAACAATTTGAAAGGTGATTCAGACTTTTATAGTCATTCAACACAGAATCTTATTTTGAGACTAATAGCCATTCTGTGCTAACGCTTCTTTAGGCTAAAAACATGTAGTTGGTAAAACCCTGATTTGTTTCAGAAGTTCATCTTCAATATTTGGATATTTAATTGGCAATTTTATATCCATTGATATCTGTAATTACATAATAACCACAGCTTAAAGCCTTTCAGACTTTAAATACTACATTTTCTTAGTGTTAATATGAAGCTTCCATGTGTGGAAGCGAACACACTGTGTAGTATTTATTCTTGCATTCTAGGTAATATAATTTTTTCTATAGGATTTTTGCGTACTATTGTTTGTATAGCTGATATTTGTATTCAAAATAAATGTCTTTGACAGAATTAAGAGATACTAGCCTGAAAATTTTATGAAAATAACCAGTTACATACTGCGGCAATTAAGTTATATAAAAGATGGATTTTTTTTTTTTTTTTTTTTTTTTTTTTTTTAAATAAATGATTTTGTTGAATTCGTGTATTTTTCTGGGTTGGATTGTTCTCAACAGAACAACACACATTAGGGCTTCTGTTTAAGGCAAGGATTTAAAAAAAATTTTTTTTTATTACCGTTATGCACGTAATGGTATCCTTTAAAGGTAGGGATACCTCGTGGAAGACTTTTAATGGAAACTGACTCTTATCCAAATTACGGAAGGGAAAATCCACGAAAACGTCCACGTAGCCAGCCGGTTCGCCGTATTCCAGATCTGGGGTTCGATCCCTAGATCGGACTATCAGTGTTCAGATTTAGAACTTTGTGAGAGAAATTGGCTCGGAAAACCACCGCACCTCTCACATTCGCCGGGTTGTGAAGTTTTGTTGGCTTATAAGCCATAAGGCAAAGCCTCGTGATAAAGACAAAGCCTCGTGGGCTATCTGCTTAAGGGGAGGGATGCCTTAGTGGAGGACTTACTAATGGAAACTAGCTGGTATACACGTTACGGCACGTTTGCGTCCAGCACGTTTGCGGGATTCGAAACACGGACCGAACTATCAGTTTCAGCGACATTATCGATCGGCTGCTGATGGGCCATAGACTTGGATTGAGCTGCTAAAGCAGCAATCTTATTCACATCTTATCTACAGATGTACTCAGCTATATTGATGAGCAATTATGTGCATGGACTGTACAATTATTAGACATTTTATTAAGCATATTGTATTTAAAGTTTACCTGCTGGAATCTTTTCCTGTTTGTAGAAAATAATGTATTTTTTTTATTTACATTTGCATAATTTCTTAATTATTTGTTTACCATCGTATTTCTCCCCTTTCTTTTACAAATATTATTATTTGAAAATCGACAGGCCATAATATCAGAGTAATTTAAACCAAACAACACATTTACAGTAAGAACATAACTAATGAAAAGTAGGTTTGGATAAACTGCAGGTAACTATAACAATATTATACTCGTATATTCATTTCTGCTTTACTGAATAATTCTAATAATCCTGTAATTTAATAAAGTAATTTTTATTTAAATTTTATATGTTCTTACTGTTATGCCTGCTACTCATTACGCTCAAATCATTCATAAGTAATTTGAGAAACTAAATGTGCAACCGAGTCAGCGAAATTGTAGATTGAACTTTTAAATTCGTGTTTGCTTCGCTCTGACTGATCTATTCTTGTATTAGACTGCTGTAAAATTCAACGGTTAGAAGGGAACTGTTCATCATGACCTTCGTATTAATTTACAAGGGTTTTCCTTTATAAGTGCTACGAAAACCTTTACTACGTGGACATATTTATTTTAAAATCCGGTGGAGCTCGATCTCGGAATGTACTGAAGAAGGTAAAAATGATGGGAATATTTATGAAATTTTCAGAATTTTGTGCTGAAACGCTAGGAGGAAATATACACGAGAGAAGAAAATGCGTAAGGGGATACGATATATAGGCACTCAGGTTGTCTATAACGTGAAAAATCAATTTATATTTATTTCGTTTGAGATATTATCTTAAAACGAAGTTTAGTAATCTGTATGTCTTTGTTATATGTTAGAACTTCTAAATTCCCAGTATGCGGTACGGCCTTGGCGCGATTTTGAAAATTGTCGACAAGACTCGTTACTGCTTATGATAAATATCGCGTTTACTGATCATTATAAGGTCTCCAAATCCCGTGTGTACCGTATCGTTAGAATGTTCACATAGCTTACTCAAAATTGAACCATATTTTTTTTTCTATTTTGCAAATTTCGAATACCTTTGTATATATCCTGTATTTAATTTCATAACTATATTTTTTTTAAAATTAAAAATAATATAGGTTTGGTTTGGTTTATTTAATTATGGCAAATCACACTAGGGCTATCTGCCTAAGGGGAGGGATGCCTTCGTGGAGTACGTTTTAAGGGAAACTGACTCGTATACAAGTTGCACATGGGGAAAACCACGAATATTGCCCATGCAGCCAGCCCGTTGGCGGGATTCGAGCCTCGTACCGAACTACCAGTGTTCAGTGACTTTACCGCTCGGTCACTTTTGGGAAAATAATATAGGAGTAATGAAACTATTCTCCTTATTTATATTAAATATGAAAAATGGAAAAAAGAAGTTAAAATATTTTAGAACTTATCATGAAACTACGGTTGGAAGAGCATTAAAATACTTTAAAGCAGTGCATTATTTTATGTCATTTTATATTAAATAATTTATTTTTTGGGGGAGATTCTTGCACAAATTTTGAGAACTTTCTATTCATTACTTCTAATTTGAAAGTAAGGTCTTTTCTTCTTTGTTTTTATATAAAATTGTCATGAAAATTTCACATACATTGTACAATAAGTGAAATAAGCGATTTCTAACGGAACAGTGTTTCATAATCTAAAATATCATTTAATTATAATATTACATTTGAAATTTTAAAAAAATGGGCTTCAGCAAATTACATTCGCTGTATGTAAATATTATACATATTTATTTAGTAATAATAAAGTGATGCAACGTAGCTGTGATACCTCTCGTCAACACAATTCCAAATTAAGTTTGTAAATGAATTTTGATTGTATGCAAAAGAGGAGTGATTAGATAATTCATCAACTGCAATATTTTACTTTCAATATGAGAAACGAATAGCAACTGGATTTCAAATGTTTAAAATAACGTAAATCAAAAAAATATATTCAAATGCGAAAAATTTTTTTTTTGAAAATATTCGTATTTTTTTTTATATGTTTTATAGCAAAGTTGTAATAGATATATTTTTGTTTTGATTTTTCTTCAGAACCTCATCATAATCAACCCCCTCGAGTGACCAGACGTCTGAGCCGCGTTCTGGTGCCACTTGGGCAGCGAGCCACCTTGCCTTGCATCGCTCAAGGCCATCCTGTCCCTGCATATCGCTGGCACAAGGCCCAAGGCGATCAACGGCCTCTTCCAGATCATACCATCTCAGTCAGCCAAGAAGGCGGGGTCTTAATTTTCCACAAAGTGGTGCCCAGTGATACGGGACGTTATATCTGTCACGTGACAAATATAATGGGTGAAGATAAAGTGGACACAGAACTGATTGTCGAAGGTAAGTGCGACGAAATAAGATTCTAATGGACTGTATCCAACTTTTGAAGATGATCGGTGAGATATTCAATTCAATGAGCTTTTCACTGTATTAGAGAAAGAAAACTGTCGTTTGGTTTCTGCCGATATTTTCTTTTATAATTATAATAATTAACATATTAATACTAAAGAAAATTTTACCATTAAATTAATATTCAGAAATATATGTATAAAATAAACAGTAAGCAGCTATAGCTGAAATGAAAAATAAATTAGTTAATTAAATTAAGCAAAGTGAATCAATTAATGAAATTCTGATACTAAATTAAATATATAAAATTTCCAAACATTGTGTGAGAACTGGCACAGTCAATGTCAAAACTGTGTTACTAGAAACGCAGCTTTTAGATGGGGCAATAACAATATAGGGAGAATACCAATGAAATTTGTTTCTTACGCATTATCGCATTATCTCAGCCATCCTAGAAGTCGCCAAAGTTCCAGAATACGCTAAACTTTGCTGACCTCGCGTATAAAAATTATTCAAGCTACCATGCACGTGACAAATACTCAGATTCGCGAACGAATACGTCATTTTCGTACGTATTCGTTTTGCTGTATATCGCAAGTTGCCACAGCTTTTATGGAAAGATTATGATTAATTTTTGTCTTAAACACAATTTTAAAATTCGCTCCTCTAGGAATTTCCTATAAAGAAGAAACATAGGTGAAATTTCTGCATGAATAAAGTATTTTGCTGCAAGATTGCTATTGGAATTATCGCTTTCCTAAAAGCTGTCGCTACAAAAGTTTCACCGAACCAAAATTAAAACCCGTTTGTAACTAGGTTTACTGCCATTTTTTTGGTATAACTTAAACGTAATATATGTATGTATGTAATGTATAATTTTTTTAATAATAAAAGTAACTGCTCTTTTTCTTCCGTAAAATTCGCCAAGGTAGTTGCGTTAATATGTAAGTAACCAAATTTTTATATTGCTCTGCATTCATGAGACTGTTAATTAGTGAAGCACAAAATTTATAGCTCACTACACACAGTTATTATAACTATTATTCTAAACTTTAAAAAAAAGGGTTAATGAAGTTCGTCAGAACTCACCCGAATGTGATTCTTGTCTTTTTATAAATCACCACATACTTACCATAGATGTTATTACTTTTTCGTTTGCTGTTGAAAAACTAAATCTCTGAAACAAAGATTTGCTCCACAGTAACATAACATATGAATATTTACACATACGGCTGTAATCTCAATCTTTGAACTTTGATAAACCCATGGTATGCTTAACTCGAATCAATATATAAAGATGTATTTAGAGCAAAATTTTGTTTTAATATAAAAACACAATTTTCATTTTGGACACTTTATGGAAAAATATTAAATTAGTAGGAAACAGAATGCAAATATAACCAGCTGGCACGAAATAACGTTGAAATTGACCACAATCATGATTGCCATACTTTGATCTGTTACATAAATATCAGTAATTCTTAAAAAAGTTTGTCATTATTTTATTTATGCAACATTAACAAGCCAAAGAAATTACTAATTCATTTATTTACTTTGCATGGTATCATATTGTTCTGCAGTATCATACGTGGATGCGTCGCGACCCGTTAACATACGACAAAGTCTTACAAGGTATCTCACAAAAGTTTTGTTCTTTGTATACCCATTGTGTATTTAGAAATACCGGATGTAAAAATTCATTGTATTTTTGATAACGAAGCCTTAGTGGAGTTTGTTTTCATGTGGGACTGTTAACACATTTTCAAACTATTCGCGAATTGTTAACTCACTCTACTCGCTTGTCAATAAATAGTCTGGTTAAGGTTACCTAATGTTAACACTTGCAAGAGTGTTGAACAAGTTGTTTCCTCATGAGACTCGGCCTAACTGGAAGAGAAGATACGTTTGCTCAGAATGGAGATATGTGTCTGAAGAAAATTATTAATGGAACACTACAAATGTTACAAATTTCAATAAAAAATATTTCTCTCTCTTCTCTGCGTTAGTCGTGTAATTTCTTACTTTGATATATTGGATGAAGAAGCTCAGAGAACTCAAATTTGTAAATCCGATCAGAAAAAGTGAATTGTTACATTTTGATATTAACTAAGTAATATATTAGTTAAATATATAAATATCAAATGTTATCTTTTGTGTGTAATTCGTCTGAAAAAAAAATGTAAGAGCGTAGCACAATTTTTAAAATATTCTAAAATTTACTAGTCTATTACTCTAGTATAATGATCAATTCGTTTTCGTTCTTGATATTAATTGCTTAAACGTACCTTTAGCAGTGTTATGTGTTCCAGTATGGTAATGGTTAACATCTATTTATTTATTTAATTTTACCAAATTATAGGTTGGGTTGGTGATTTACATATTGTTCTTCTAACATTAGAATTAATTTAAATGCGATTAAAAGTATACAACGCTTTCCATTTTCATTTCTACTTCCTTGCACAGTAAAGAAAGTATTGCAATTGCGAAACAGTTCGGGTATTATCGGAGTATTGGGGGATTTCTGTGTGAGCTTTTTTCCTGTAGACGAGCTTTGCATAGCGCTGTGTTAAGCATTTTTAGCACTTTGAAGTGGAACTACTGAATTTGCTCTATCATACTGAGAACAGCTCTTCTAATAATTTTGTAAAAAGGTTCAGAATTGCAAAATGTTTCCCTTAGGAAAATAAATTTTATCAAGCTCTCATCGGTTTTGTGCGCATGCAATCTATTAAGAACAAATACTCAAGTAACAAATTTCGTTTACGAATCTAGTTAGACCATTCTTTTGCGTAACATTTGTACTTACGGGCACAATAAAGGACAGTTTTTTCCTAAACGGATTATAAAATGAATTCAAATGCGACATTTTCGTGACGTCTGTGCCCACATACGTAGGTATGTATATATGTATCTCGCATAACTTAAAAACGATCAGCTGCAGAGCACAGAAATTTTGTGTACGGGACTACTGTAACATATAGTACTACCCTTTATTATTGCAGCAGTAATAAAAGCATATATATATATGCTTTTGTATATATATATATATATATATATATATATATATATATATTTGACAATAAGTTAAGGAACAGCATATTTTTTATGTCTAATTTGAGAATGAAGCAACATGTAAACATGAAATTTAGATGATATGTTCACTAAACAGTTATTGAATGAATGCGTCATAGAATATTTCTAAAATTCAACACAAACATGAAGAATTAAAACAAGAAAGTGGCACTGTTTGCAGAGAACTCCAGTCTTGGAGGAAACATACATCACAGTATTTTGAGGAAAATATGGTGGTAATATTATAGAAATGTGCTCTAATAAGAAATATGTAATAGCTGCAATGTATTGGAGGCAGCGATGTTTCATGCTGTCATTGAAATTGCCGGTCAATAGAAGGAGAAGCCACTATCAGACACAGATTAATCCTTGTTCAAGCTCATCTAACGATCTTGGAGGAGGACTTAAAGCAGCAACCTGTTTCACGAGGTAGTCCCAAAGATGCCCTATCTAACTCGGGTCTGAGAATTGAGCTAGGCTTTCTATCCGCTCCACACCGTGACACTCAGGATATTCTCCAGCAACCTGAGCTTGACCTTCACGCATTGTCGTTCATCAAAAGAAATCCAGGACTAATAGCAGCTGTATATTGGCGGACGTAATGATCAAAGATCTCGTCTCGATATCTCAAACTGGTCAAAGTTCCTCCATGGAACATGGGTCTTAAGAATTTTGTTTTCTACTTTTTAAAGTGATTGATTAAAATAAAAGTGTATTAAAATCATGCGATGTCTGACTAAAATTATTCGATGTTTTTATGAAATTGAACTAACTGGACTCATTAAAATCATTATGCACTTTTTTTTATAATCAAATTTTTTTTATAGTGTTCCTTTTTATAAAATTCTCCTTAAGTTTTATAATATAATTCTTTCTTACTTATATTTTAGATAGCTGGCCGCACGAGGGGCTGGTGTTTAAAGAAATAGTATAGAGAATATAAAATATGTATAACAAACTCAAACACTACTAGGAATTCTAAAGATATGTTGGTATTAAACATTTCGTGACTTTGTCGTTGAATTGAATTTTATGTGGCATAAATGATACTTGATATTTAATAAATAAAGTTAACACACAGAACGTTCAAAATAAAAGGACAAAAATTTTTGTCAGCTATGTTACTAAAAAAATTGAATATTGATATGATAAACTGAAAAACGACTGATAAAAATTTTAAAATGTATGCCCACACTTAATACAGCATCTGGAAATCTCAAAATATCCTGTTATTCAACTTTTAACAATTTTGTGGTTTTGTCGTTGCATTGTATGTGGCGTAAGTGCAAATAAAATAATGCTTGATAATAAAGGAAAAAAGACAAAAAAAAATTGGTTTATCAAAACAGTGAATGCAAGAGCAGATAGGTAGAGTGCGAGCTCAGCGAGAGCGTAAAAATCTTAACAAACTATTTTGGGGGACAGTTAAATCTGAACCCTTTTATATATTTTTTTATTATAATTTCTTTATCTTTTTTATTTTTATTTAAAACATTTCAATCAATATATGACTCCTTATTTATATGCTGTAATAAATCTTCCAAGATTCCTTGCCCTTCAAAGATTATTTGAATACAATTTTCATGGCTAAAAGAAGATACATAATTGTGCTTTTAAATTTAAAACACAAGTTCCCATAAAATGCATTTAAATATTGATATTTATTTAATACTTTTATTTTGCAAAATTTAGTCTAAAGACAATCAATCCTCCGCCAAAGCAGTTCTTGAAAGCAAATACCCGAGTGCTTTGCTTAATCCAATACTCCAATCCTATAAACTTCTGTAAGCTTACTTTACCATTTTACATGTCATTAAGTTCCGAAAAAATCAACTTGTATCATTCTAAAGCGTTCATATTGCTGCAAAGGTAATATTAAATAAGTACGAAGAAAGGAGGAATAGCATGCCTGTTACTAG